TTCCGGTTCACATTTCCGCCGTCCGGGGCCGTGCGGGCTTGGCGTCACCGCCCCTCGGGAGAGTTTCGGGCTTTTGCCCCGGATGTACTTGCCTGCGGTTTTCCTCGTAGATTTTATTAAGAGAAGAGGGGGGCAAAAATGATGGCGTCCCCAAAAGAGATTCGGAACATTGCTCGTCAAAAGGCGAACCAGTGTTCTTCCAGGAAAGAACACTTCTAAAACAGACAAATTGCTCTAAAGTTCTGCCTCTTGGCTCCCTCCTGCCAGCAATTAGACCTCGGAAACTCCTAGTGGTAGAAGGAAGCTCTCTTAGCATCAACCTGTTCCACGCCTCTCACTTGTCAGCCCAGGTGACCGAAGTTTGGGACAACCGCTGACTCGCCACTTAACGGAGCAATACAAGGTTTCCCCAGTATTTGTAAAAAGCGCATGCACGCAGTGCGGCATATCAGTCAAGGCAAAAAGCACAAAATTGTTCCCCCAAAAGTCATTTTTCATGTGCAATTGTTACCGCAATTGGAATTTCCAATACCATATAGAGTTGCTTACCAAAATTAAACGAACGTTTCCTTGCAAGCGCCTGGTAACAGCACGTAGGGGGTCTAAATGAGGTGCCCGAGCCTTATTGTGGTTAATGTCTTTTTTGCGGGTATTCATTTGCTTTGAAAGGAGGTTACATCATCGTTTACTTTTTTTTACTACAGTGACTGTCATGTATGTTTTTTACTATAGAGACTTTATAATTTTTCCGGTTTGCTATTCCTTTGGCGTCTGTTGCCAATTTCCGAAGGAGCTGTGTTGCAACCAGGAAGTGTTCACACTCTGCTAAATGGCTCACTCCAGTGGGCAGGCCCCTAGTGCTCCAATGCCCCTAGTGCTCCTTAGTTTTGTTAAACTCTGACACTAACCAGTCTACATGGTGGGAAAACCTGCAGATTAACTGATACCCATGAGAATGAAACATCATTTGCTTCAAGTGGTAAGCAGTTAAGCGAGTGATTCCAACGCTTATTACCAGCGCAGACAGCCAACGTCTTTCTAGAAGTGGGGATCGCCTTTTGAGCCCATTTATAATTACTCTAAGTAGGGTTAAGAATAGCATTTGCACAATATCAGATTTGTGTATGAAGCCATAAGCTTTGTGCTACAGTTCAGGAACTGGGGACCATTTGATCTTAAAGTCAGATAAGACTTCCCAAATGTAGTGCCTATAAAAAGACTTTCGTAGTGGCAGGTAAACAATCCTGAGGTTTTTGTCTTTAGGATAGTCAATATATTGGCTTGAATTTCGCCTACTCGGTATTTGCATGAAATCAAAACATAGGTTCCTGTGTGTTGCCAGGTGATTCCATTGGCGGTTCTATAAGTTTATCAATGGTTTTTATATTTTCATAAGTTCTCACACTGTGCTACATTCTGAATGATTCCCATTTGCAGCTCTCAGTATATATCACTTGCTCTCTTCTAAGCATTTGCATATATTCTTGCCTTTCATATATCCTTCTTAATAATCTTCCCTAAAGACTTTTTCTCTGACCTTTGATTTTAACCAGGGATCACTTTCCTCAAACCTGGGCTAGTCCCTATTTATTCTAATAACACCTGGTCTTCCCTGAAGTTAGACTTCTCTCACTTTATTGTTGTTGTTAGATGCTGTTGCCGTTGGTTTCCACTC